GTAAAGAACAGATGAAAATGAGACTTCAGTTCTCAAGTTGATGTCAGCAACTTCAGCATGTTTTAGAAATGGATCACTCAGTGGAAATTTATCAATTATATATGAACATGCAGTTACAAAAAAAAGCTCGCACAGAATTGAAAAATGATTTCACTTCACTTCACTTTCATTCAACTTGGCATTTTTTAAATATAGTCTTGTTTCCGCACCAATCACTAAATTTTCATTTTCTTTTTGTTTACTATACTTCTGAAATGGAATAGACGTTAGAGTAACATCTTCATTTTCTTTAGAAATTACTGATGGTTTTTTACGAATCTAACAAATAAATTCATTAAAAGTTCAAAAAGTTCTTCTTCTCAATTTATGTATATAAGGAGCTTGTTGTTGCAAATTAATATTTACTGTTATAAACAAAGGCAAAGTATTTTTCAAAATTACAAGTACAATTTGGTGGTTGGTGACTGTAAAATTTTTTAATGTTTTTCAATCTCTTTCCTTCATTCTCACTGTTATCTGGTTTATCTCCAAAAAAATTTATCACAGCATCCCACTGTTCCAAAATCCTTGTTATAGATTCTAAAAAGAGACAACCATCTCTCATACTGCAATATTTCAAAATTTTATGAGATTTTGCATTCTGTCCCAAAATTTGTTGAGCAACTTTGAAGCTATGCTTCCGTTTCGAACTTTTCTCCAAGGAAAAATATACATCTATTATCAACATTTCAATTTCTGAGCCAATTAATTTTTCAGTAGCTTTTTTTGCAGCTATATGCAAGAGGTGGCACGGACAACCTCGGGTGATTATCTTGGTTGATGCATTTTGATAAATGATGCTACACCTTTAAACTTTCCAATCATATTACTAGCATTATCTGAAGAAAATGATAAGCAATTTTTCCATTCTAAACCTTTGTTTTTAAAGTTTTCATTTATACAATTAAAAATACCTTCTCCTGTATTATTCGTGGCATTCTAAAATAGAAATCAATGAAGTAATTATCACTCCCTTTTCTTTACTGTAGTATGTTATAACCAATGGGTACAGTTTGTTATCATTGTTATCATTACTTCCATCAGTACATAGAGAAAATGATGTACTGCACACTGATTTTATAATATCAGCAACAGTATTTTCTGCAAGCATTTTCACAATAGCAGCAGTTTTGGTATGACCGCAGCTAAATTTTTTTGCTATGGCAGAATCCGGAAACATTGCTTTGAAAAGCTCTTTGGAATGATCCGAAACAGAAAGCGGTAGATTATGTTCAATTAAAAAACGAACAAAATAGCTTTATAGGATCTGTTTCATCATCTTTTATTAAGAAATTGTTATTTTTCTTTAGATTTACGGTGCCAAGTTCTACATGCTTTTGAGAAAACACATGCCGTTTACAGTCATCTTTTCCGCCATGAGCAACTGAGAAGTCTTTGTTGCATACACTGCAGTGTGCGTGATTCACAGAAATTTCGGACGCTTTAATGCATGGAAATTCTGAAGAATATGAATCTTTAAACTTCTGCTTTGATAATTTTGGCTTCTTCGTTCGAGGCAGCATTATGATTAAAAATCTTTCACCTGATTCACAGTTCACAAGACACACGCTAAGCTCTCACCGTAAACTACACAATGCAGCCGAATGCAGCCTAAACACGCATCAGCGAGGAACCTGGGAGACAGACAATTGGGTGGAACTATTGATAAGTCGTTAACGGTTGGAGTTACTGATCTACGAATAGGCTAATTCTTCAAAACTAGGAACGCACTCAACACGTGATATATGATAACACGAGTATTCAGCCAATCATCGGATGAATTAGTTGGTTCCGTTTTGCGTACTGGTTCTCCTGCTCTTGTTTCTGTAAAATCCGTAGTTTTTTTCCATACTTTTCGTAGCTCGTAGTTTTTCATGAATTTCCGTAGAAACTACGGAGAATCCGTAGTAGTTGGAGTCTATGATAAAGCTAGAACGATGTATAAAAGAAATTAAGCAACAAAAAAAAAAAAAAAAAAAAAGAAACAGTTTTTCACAGACGATTGAATATTTCTCATTCAATTAATTCAGTTCTCACTTTGCAACAAAACAAAAATATACAAAAACTCAAAATATCTCTACTAAAAATTACTAATTATTAAAAATTAAATTACTAATTATTAAAAATTATGTAAATCTTTAACACTTATTTCCTCGAAAAAATTCGAGAAAGGATTAAGCATGATTTAAATCGCAATAATAAATGAAGGCGTTAATCTTTGTTGCTGTGAAGCTACGTTTCTCTAGATTGGCAACAAATTCACTACTCAGCTGTTTCAAATGTAAACAAGCAATGGCCGCCATCAAAATAGGCTTAGCGGTACTTAAACAACTTTTAAATTGTTGATAATTCTAAAAATAGTGCATACAGATTTATTAAAGGCATACAACCCTTAACCGGAAGATAAAAACAACATAATTCAATCATTTAAAAAAAAAAAAAAGTACAATTTACAAACATATAAGAGTATAGAAACTGAGATTACTGAGCCGGGTAACAGAGTGGATATATTCATAAATATATTTATATACGTTTGGCGTGGCCGATTGAACCAAAATACGAGGTACACATCTACACGTTATAATAGTCTTATATACAAAATTTCAACGTTCTGAGGCTACTCGTTTTTGAGTTATGCGAGATATGTACGTACATACGTTCATACAGACGCCACGAAAAATTCTCTTCAGAATTCATTTTAAAGCAGCTTTTTAGTTTTTTTGGTGGAAACGAGTCTTTTATTCTGTCCTTACGCACAGATATCACGCAAAAACATCGTTAAATTGCATTCGAAAGTGGTCAAAGTGGATATTTTCGTTGAAATATGCTGCTTGAAGCTTTTCGCGATTACAATACTTCCTTTTTACTTCGTACAAGGAAATAAAAAAACAGAGACTTGCATAAGATCGGCATTGCGCATTCCCTTGACTTTGTCTATGTACACATTGATCTATTTTCACTTAAAAAGTCAAAAGAAATTGACAAAAATCCAGTTCTTACTCTTATAAAAAGGACCAAATATGTGGGCGATTCTGCACTTCACCCAAAAGTAGTTTCGAGATAGTGACATGAACTCACATAGTTCTGAAATTATAAGAAATAATAATTTCAAGCGTCACTTGAAAAAAGCTCTATTTACCAAAAATTTCCCCTTAAAAAATTCAGCTTATTGAGGAAAACGAATGCTAATCTTTTTTACATTTAAAACTGTTTATATGTGTCAACCTATATATGGGTATTTTTTTTTTTTAATTTTTAACTTAATCTTTAATACATTTTCCTGTTAAAAAAATATGGCTCCCCTTGGTGAAAATGCCAAATTGATGTCATTTAAATAAAAAGATTTAAATAGTCTTTTCTTTTCTTTTCTTTACTCTTGTCAATGGTATTTGCTTCCCCCTTCCTCCCAAATCTTAAAAAACTTTTGTGATAAAATTATAATAAAAAATGAAGAAAAACAGGACTACAATTTTTTTAAATGCAGTTGAAAAATACAGCAGTATTTTCTAATACAATAAACACCAAGTGGCAAAATTTATGCAATATGAATAATTTTGCACGTAAAATTAAATGCTACTAAAAGCAAAAAAATACAGAATATTTTCACAAAATAGAATATTAACTGCCAGTTTCAGAATGGTAAAACTAAAAATCTAACAAAATCTGATCTTTCCAGAAATACACTCATGAGTCAATTTGTGCATCTACTAATATGTTTCAGCATGGCTTGCAAATGTTATACTTTTAAAATATCAGGAAAACACAGAAATAAAACAAAGAATTATAATGCTTTATGAAAGTGAATAAACAAATAAACACTGCTAATTATTTTAAATGCTTTAATTTAATAAAATGAACGGCATTAAAAGTAGCAATATAAACAAAATTATGTGTATAACTTGCTCCAATCATAATCTTTTCAGAATCATTAACAACTTACAGATACTAATTTTACTTTTCATCACACATATTTTATTACAAATTTATAGGCATTTAGTACAAGTTAATGCACAAGATTTATTCATTTCTTATTTCTGTGCACTTATTTTACCTCATAAGGAATCAACAAAAAAATTATTACTTTACATTAATTTTATACATACACCTAAAATATAATTAAATGCTATACAAAATATATTGAACTATCAATCTTGTCCTAAATTGCTAACATTATGCAAGATCAAGTCCATGTATATGAAAACTTTAATTCATGTCACTTAAATACTTTAAAATCATTTAATCTCTCTATAAAAAAATATTTTTACTGATTTTAAATAACAATTCAGATTTTTTAACGAATAAAAAAAAAAAGGTTTTTGATAAATAATTTATAAGTACTATGTGAAGTGTTTATTAACACTTTAAGGATGTCAGTCATGCAAATACTCCATATCCAAAATATAACATAATGTGGCATTTAAAACTTATAAGTTCTTAATACACCCCCCTTGAAAATAAATCCAAAGGGTTAAACTGCCTGAGAATTTTATCAGTATTTAATACTTATTTTTAATAATAATTTTGGTGATAGCAAAAATATTATGGCCATTAATAAAATCAAAAATATATCTTCTGCCGACATTAATCAATTTAAAAATTAATTTCAGGCCTTTCCTTGCAAAAGTAGTCAGTGAACATAATAGTTTACCATTGCAATAAAATAGCAAATCAGTGTTTAAAAAAATAAATAAGGGGATATTCTATGGAAGTAACAGGTTTCAACAATTGCGGATCATTGATCATTTTCATGCTCCTCGTTGCCAAAAATAAGTACATGAACGGACAAACAAAAATACATAATAAACGCATATCTGTGTGGTAGGGGGCGAAAGGCGCCATTAAATGATTATCATAACGGATTTGTAGAATGAGACTGATAAATTTCTCCTATTTAATCAAGCTAGTCTATACATACGAAGCTAGGAGATAGAAGGGGGGCAAGGTAAGGTATTCTCACTCACATTTTGACCCTCCGAGTCGATGGCATTTCTCATCCTTTTTTCACGCGTTAGTTACTTTACTCTCCCACTTCGTAGGGTAAGGTACTTTATACTCCGCAATATGGAAGAAACGCACAAAACGGTTTATCAGCCGGTAAAATAACAACACCAAACAGCTCGTCAGCGAATTTTTGAATCATTCACACAGTATGATATAGAAAGTATATCTCTGAGTATTGTTTTAACACATTCAACAGTTCTAAATAACTGCACTCATTTAAAAAAAAATCAAAAGAAGCATTCCTTTTCCGACACATTCATAAATTCCTCCGCGTATCTGCCGGCCTTGCGGGTGGGTGGACATGGGATGATGGCGTCTGCAGATGAGAGAGAGGAAGAGAGAATCTTCCCCATTGGCTGATGCCTTTTCCCGTTTCTCTCTATTGATTGGGAAGTGTAAGGCAGCCGCGCACGTGCCGTTTCTACGGCCACCCGCTTTGCAGTCGCCACGCTCCATTGTCAACACAACAATTCGGACGTCGTCTGTGCCAACCAGAGCAGAATTCTATCTCAACAAACCGGCCGCTTTCATCCCGAAGTCTCTCAGTCGGCACAAACCTCGCTTTTACGTATTGCGCATATTTCCGAGATGGAACCGCTGTAAGTCAGGAGGTAATCGTTAGTCTACAAAGATACTGAAAGCGAATGTCAATGCTGATAATACTCAATAGCATTATAATAATTACTTATATCTAACGGCTATATTTCAAAAAGAGAAATATCCATAGCAGACATTTTTTCAGCCACTCTTCGAATGTGGTAAGTGAAAATGATTCTCAAAATTGAAACAAACTTTTAAAATTTAGACTCAAATTATGCAAAATGCGGTAAAAAATAGTTGGTTGTTTCTGTTCTATCTTTCTTTTTTTTCGTCATTCGCTGATCTCTAGTTATTACCTGTGATCTACATTTCTAAGAATGGATATATATGTATAGTGTTTCTGTTTTTCTGCTAGTCTACTGCTATGACTAATTAAACAATTAACCTGTAATTTATATCTATGACATTTTTTTAAAATAATGATTACCTTAATTGGAAGTAGGTATTAAAATTCAACAAACAAGCACGGGTTTCTAAATTAATTTTTAATTTATTTCAGCTATAAAGAAACATACAGAATGAACAATTCATAGCACACAAGTCAATGAAATATCAAAATGATTTTCAGTTAATTTATTTGCATATGTATGGAACTATCAGCAGAATTTAAAAGGAATCAAGTAATCATTATACATAAAGGAAGGTTATCATTTCAAGTCAAATATTTCTAAAGAAATAAAACAGTCAGATAAATTATTAGTTCTACTTGAAAGATTTGTTTGTTAGTAATAAACAGTAGCTTCCTAATATCTACATAAATTATTCAGATGTCCATTCAAAATATAAAGCATAGAAAGTATCATTTTAATGCCTTTTGTATTATCATTGAAAGACTATCATCCCTCATTTGTGATGACAGCGAGCAATCTTTTATTCAAAGAACGTAAATTAAAATCTGATAGCAACGCTTATTATATCCACCCAATTATTAGACTTTCTGTAATTTCTGTATATAATCAGGATGATTTTTCACAATAAAAACACTATGTATCCTACTTGATGTTACCACATACCCAAGACAATTATTATACTTCATGAACATCTTGATATGCCTTCAAATGTTGTCAACTTATATACATATTATAATAGAATTTGAAAAAATCTCATTTCTGTGTAAATGAAGACATTCTGGCTAATGATCCAATGAAGAAAGCCATTTAAGAAATCTAACAATCTTTTTTTCACCAAGGAAAGAAAATCAGTAGTATTACCATATGTCTTCAATTAAGTTTATGCATTCTACTGATTTATGTCTTTTATGCATTCTGAAATACACTTAAGCAAACAGAAGGCATTTCGACAGATTAAAAAAACTACTGCCCTAAAAAAATCAGTATTTTTTCTCTTTCTCATTTATAACATCACACCTGCCAATCTCATGAGAGTCATAATCAGAAGATTTCTGGAAAAAATGTAGATCACAAAATGCAAAATTTACAGAAAAATATCCTATTTCAAACACAATTAGTAAAATGAAAAATCACATTTTAATCTACAATAGCTGATTTTGCTTCTGTTAAAAAGAGATAAAAAAATTCAAATTCGTAACATTTATTACCCTGGTTATATTTAACAACGCATATTCCCAAGAGTTTATGTTGTCATAGCAGAAAGAGACTGGTATTTATTATTTTTTGGACAATGCTAAATATGTACTCACATTCTGCACATCTCACAGAACTTCAGCACCCGTCATATTTAGGAATTTCATCTACTGTACATATCTTTCCTATTCCCCAAGGGGCATTTATTGTCGTGATGTCCCATTTCAAACTTTTCTTTCTTTCTGCAAGTGTTTGTGGTGAGCAAAAAAAAATTTTTTTTCCAAGTCACAAAATGTTTTCTTTATCAAATAATTATTTAAAAAAAAGTCCAAACACATCATAGCATAAAATTCTATTGTGTACTACACATACTTCACTGACTACAGATTAAATCTGTTCTACTTCTTGGCCATCTAATGTCTATCACTAAGAAACTTCCTGAATGTTTGCTTTAGAAGCAAAAATTATAATGTAAAATTATCATGTATTAAACAATCTGAAACAAATATTGCAAGAAACAAGGGAAAGGGGCTTCTTAAAATGAACAGACAATATATATGGTAGCCAAAAGTTTAGGTGATTTGAATATGGCAAAGCTACAAGAGCTATATGCCTAAGAGGAGGTATGCTTTCATAGACAGCCTTTTCAGGAAATTAGTGTGTATTCAATGTTGCACCTGGGAAAAAGCATGTAAACCAGCCACTGGTGGTTCTTAAGCCAGTCAAACTGGAGGCCATATCTTATATTTCAACACTGTTATAGCAACCCTATTTAGGAAATGATCATAAAACATTCATTTCGCTATATATGCCTCATCAGGCTACAACCTGAAGAAAGGCAAATTTTTAGACAATTAGTCACTTAAATAATGAATCTATTTTAAGAACTGTTATAGCAATATCATTTATGATTTAGTAAATCTTTCAAACATATTTCTCAATTAGATTTAATGCTAAATTATTCTTCAAACATTCTAATATTTTGCTTTCATTTCAGCTGTATTTGCTTCCTTTAAGCTCAAAATATTTTAAACATGATTATTCATTTAAAATAAATGAGGCCATATTTTAAGAGAAGATATCAAATTATAATCAAATGAAAGATATTTCCGTGCTCAATGTACTATATATCACCACTATGTGACATTAAAGTTGGACCTAAATTTTATTTCAATGTGAAGTTTAAGTGATGAAGCATAATTGTGACTTCATTTCATACATATTTCACAGTTACATGACTTCTGATAATATTTTGGGACTTAACCTTGACCTTGAATGAAATGACTGAAATGGAAATTCTTCCTACCTGCACCATCAAGAAAGCCTGAAACAGAACCAGTTGCTATACTGACAGAGATCTGTAGAGAGTTTTGGCTCTGGATATATAAAATACACAAAAAGGGTTCGTAACTGTCATTTATCTGGGTAGGCAGTGTGACGAACAAGGTTATCAGATGCCAGTGCATATATTTTGTTAAATCCTGCAGAGTGTGTTGAATATTCTCCTCCTCGGGATCAGAGTTGGAGGTTGACAAGCTTAGGGTCAGAATTCAGTTTCCTTAGAGGTACATTTTTCTGATGAAGATGTTTCTTCTGCCTTATATGGAACCAAAGATGAGTCTCCTCAGTTGCTTTAGCCGTTTGACTGCAACGGAGCGCAAAAGCGCTGTGTTCATTTGTCTCGAAAACCGCGACACAGTGCTTTTACGCTGTGAGTTTCAGTGTGTCTTTGTTGCTCCGTCATCAAGTCAAAATATAATAAAATATAAGTCAAAAGACAACATCAAGTCAAAATATGTCCCGCAGTTTTCGTGCATTATTGCAAGAATTGCTTAGCAGTAAACGGTTAATTAGCAGGAGGGACTAAATAAATTTGACTGATTGATATTTTAGTTAGGAAACCATTTAATACATCAATACCTATATCTTCAGGATGTAACAATTCAAACTCCTCACACCAGATTGTTGTAAATACCTTTAGCAATTCATTCAATGGTATACTATCTTTCTTCCTATAACGGCAGAAACAGGAATTTATCCACAAACTACAGAGCACTATAAAAAGAAGGATTATCACTTTCTTTTATATTAGCCATTTCTACGTGAAAAAATAATTCATATTTCAGTGGAAAACCTGATAATGGCATGTGCCATAATTTCGGGTAGATAGGCCATGGCTTATACGTGTTTAAAAGTTGAAAATTTAGGTCTGCGGGATATCTGAAGGAATTTTATTTTTCCTGTGTCTTTAAAACTTCGCTAGTTCAGATCGTAAGTTATGCTCAAGCAAAATGGTTAATGCAGAATTCACTGCAACATTTTATGGTGATACAGCACTTATATCGTGCTAAGGAAGTGCAAGAAGTTCAAACTCGCAAAACTATGGTAGGTGGCGCTCTATGTAAAGACAACATAATGCATGTACTTTCTGCTGAACTCCATGGCTTAGCCTGCATTTTCTGATGACTTTTTTTTAATGACAATATCAATGTTTACTTCCCAAATACTGTGCTCATTTTTACTGCTTTGTAGCTTGCTTATTGCTTACCTTATCGTTCATGATTTAAAATTATTATTATTACAGCTCCTACTCAAAGAAAAAGTTACACAGCTGCTTAAGCTTTTGGCAGTGAAGAAGGCAACAGAAAATGGAAATTGCACTGTGGTTAAAGAATTTCAAGCAATGCATTCGGCGGTGGAAGTCCAAACAAGAAGAATTAGAGGAAATGCCTAAGAATAAAACATCTTGTCGAAAAGTGCATGCATATTTTTCTTGCATTATTCTTTTAATACAAAGAAACTCATCCTAGTAAGCTGGTCTAAAATACTGACAATATTGTTTTTTACTCATTTAACAAGAAAAGTTTTATTGAACCAAGCAATATTTGACATTACTTGATATGATATATTTTGTAATCACTGGTTTTGCCAAAGAAATTGCCAAACATACAAATTAGATATTTTAAAACAAGGCATCGAGATGAAGTATGTTTTATTTTTATATAATTTTATTACAATATCGAAATATTAAAAAAAAATCACAAAGAAATTTGCAAATTACCAACTCTAATGCTGTCAAGCTAAACCGATTTTGAAGATGGTAAAATGGCAATTAACCACCAGACCTAGAGATGCACAGTATGCAAAAGAGATTAAATGCTCCACCATTTCTGCCCTCTTCCTGAAAAAAAGCTTATTTTTCCAATCATGCTGTTAAATGCCAAAATTAAAGACAGGATTACCATTCTCTATCAGATGATTTGAAGGTAACCCCAATGTCTAAGAAGAGTGGTTAAATAAAATGTGTGCATATTTGATGATAAATCGCTTGGATGGAATGATTTTTGGCATTTTGGAAAATATTGTAAAATTCATAAAATAGTCTCTTTAGATGTAAACCAAAATAAGTTTATGCAAAAATTTGGAAATTCGGTACATATGTAATATGTTGGCCTGTTTTACTGCTTTGGTGGTCTAGAGTGACTAAACTAGAAGAGAAACACGCTAATGTGACAATCAAAATCGTAAAAAACAACCTTGTATTTAGCGTAGGTATAATGAAACACTCAATCGATTTCGAGGGCAGCTAAAGGTCCCTCCTCATCAGG